ACCTGGAGCTCACTGATTTGGTTAGCCTGGCTGGCCAGAGTCTCTAGGATCCTTTTGTTTTTTCCCTCTCTGATTCTGTACCTGACTTTTTAAAAATTTCAACATTTATTTTTATTTTATGTGAATAGGTGTTCTTCCTACATGTGTGTCTGCATACCATGTGTGCATTGGATTCACTGGGAATGGAGTTACAGACAGTTGTGAGCTGCTATGTATGTGCTGGGAATTGAACCCAGGTCCTCTGGAAGAGCAGCCAGTGCTCCTAACTACTGAGCCATCTCCTACAGCTGGCTTTTTATGGGCTAGTTGGATTTGAACTCAGGCCTTTATACTTGCACAGCAAGTACTTTCACCCACCCTGCCTTATAGGCTTTTGATGAGGAGAGATAAACAACCCTGCCATTTACCCCAGAACTCTCTTTTGGCTCTCCAGTAGGATCTAATTTCTTATTTGCAAAACTCTTCAGATTCTGGCTTCAAGTGGATTTGCTTCTTCCCTGGGACATCATCAGCTGAATTAAACTGTCCACACAAATTTCCCTCTGTTAGGGTTGTGCCTTCTCAGCTGGGTACCCACCCCCCTTGTTTGAGGCAGCCCTCTGTCACCCTGAATGTTCTCTGAAAACCTCTTTGTCCTCACCAGCCATCCACTTCAGAAGTGGTGGTGTTATTTTGAGGCAGGGTTTGGGATGCCATATAGAATAAAGCTGTGATTGTATTAAAAGCCAGAGGAGGATAAGCAGCTAATACAAACACCAAGAGTGCCTAAGCACACGCTGTACCAATGGAGAAATTGGGACAATGCCTTGCTGGCACTGCTTTGTTTCTGAGGACTGAATACTCACATGCAGTCCTGACACAATTGCTAGCAAGGTTGACTGGGTTCCTGTTCGGCAAAGTTACTAAACCTTGGGGCCCAGGGCTCTGTTTCTTGATAGGTCACAGGTTAAGTGCCCACCATTCCTTGTACATGGGGGAGGGCCTATGCAACTGGGTCTTACTCCAAAGGTAGATAGTTTATTCTGGGCCAAGTATGTCTAGCCATGTTCAAGGAGGAACATGGGTTGAGAATACTCAGAATGACATGTCCTACTGTGGAAATCCATATACGATTCTTTTCTTCTTTCTTTCTTTCTTTCTTTCTTTCTTTCTTTCTTTCTTTTTTTTTTTTTTTTTTGAGACAGGGTTTCACCACATACCCCTGGCTGGCCCGGACCTCACTATGTAGAGCAAGCTGGCCTCCTAGAAATCCGTTTGCCTTCCCAGTGCTGGGATTAAAGGCAGGAGTCATCACATCCTGACTTAGATAAAATTTTATAGTCACAGAACAAAAGAAAGTAATAAATCAATGTGTTAACCAAATGCCTTTGTGGGGACATCAGTTAGGCAGGCTATAGAAGAGTGGGGACATCTCTGTTATAGACTCAGATGCTCTATGATGACAGTTTTCAGCTTTTGGCTTGGTAGAAGCTAGTGGTTTGGTGAGTTAACACATCCTAAAGATTTCACTTGATAGTCAAAAGGAAGTTAGGTCAGATACACCAGTTAGTAATAAATTACCATTATTTTTTTTTTTTTTTTTTTTTTTTTTTTTTTTTAGAGACAGGGTTTCTCTCTGTAGCCCTGGCTGTCTTGGGATTCTCTTTGTAAATCAGGCTGGCCTTGATTTCAGAGATCTGCCTGCCTCTGTTGACATTAAAGGCGTGCACTACCACGCCCAGCAATAAATGACTATTAAGGGAACTATAGATAGTAAAATGTTGGGAACCAAATCTCAGGGCTTGACATGAGATCCTAGGCCATACTTGGCAGGATAGTTAACCTTTACAGTTTACATAGCAGTTCCTTAGAACCTCAGCTCAAAAAAAGAAACAGCCACAGGGAAACTCTGTCTCGAAAAACCAAAAAAAAAAAAAAAAAAAGGAAAGAAACAACTTGACTCAGTCCTCCACTCACAGGCTCAGTCACCTAGGCAACCCCTTCTTGGACCTCTTACTCATGAACTCTTTACCCTGCCAAACATCCTCTTTGTGGCTTCCTAATATCCTGCCTATACTAACACCTGGTACACAAACAACCCATTCTGCCCCTCCCCATATCCTGACTATATAAGCTATTCTGATAAAAGTAAAGTTTGCCACTTGATCAGAATCATGTCTTGTGGTCGTTCTTTCTGTGTCTTTTGTCCCCATTCCCTATCCCTGACTCTCTTGCCCCAGGTTGATGTCCTGCAGGACAGCCAAAGATGACCTGCAACATTCCAACATCACGAAGTTATAGTCATTTAGTCTGTGGAATCTTAACAGAGACGGCTTTTCTAGGGAAGTGCAGTTCTCAATCCTTAGAGACACTGGGGACATCTCACAAACTCTTGTGCCTTTCTTAGCCCCTCAACCCTAGAAATCCAAGTTCCTCTCCATAATTTCCAACCCACACAACAGCCTTTTTTTCTGATAAACTTTCCATGTTTCCTCTTCACCACCATGTTGCTCTCAGTGGACAGAGTCACATGCTCTGGGACTTAGGTTATTTCAAGAACTATTCCTCACCGCAAGGAGCACTGAAATGAAACAGGAAACAGTGGACAGGAACAGGCAGGCCTCAGATGAAAATGAATGCTGGAACTTTCCACCAAAAATATTTCTCATAGTTCACTTTCTTTAGTTTTGATGACTACTACAACTTGGATCATTTTAGTCAGATGCCTCTGACTGACCAGGAATGTAAATAAACAAACTTTCACATGGCCCTTTAGGAGTGCTGGTTTCCTTCCTTCCTTCCTTCCTTCCTTCCTTTCTTTCTTTCTTTCTTTCTTTCTTTCTTTCTTTCTTTCTTCCCCTTCTCCGCTGTCTCCACTCTTCTTTTCTTCTTCCTCCTTTCCCTCTGTGGGGAGGCATAGAAAAGCATCATTCTGACTCAAACTGAGGAAATGGAGTTTGGAATACATCATATAATTATGGATATTCTGTGGTTGTTATTTCATAAGAATAGTAGAGAAAAACCAGAGGGAAAAGGAAGGGAATTAGCATTTAGGGAGTTCTTAACATTCAGCAAGGACCCTTGAGCCTTCTAGTCCCATCGAACTCCCACAGCTGTCTTGTGTATTGCTCTATACTGTCTGTCTTCCTACTTGGTAAGCCACAAAACAGTTTTATTGTGCGTGCATGTGCCCACATGCTTGAGGTCCGAGGGACAACTTCAGGAGAGTTGGTTCCTTCATTTCACCCCATGGAGGCAGAGTTTCTTATGTTTCTGTTGATGCTTCAGCACTGGGTACTTTAGGCTAGCAGACCAGAGGGCTTCTGGATAATTCTCTTGTTGCCACAGCCTTCCCTCTCACTGTAGGAGTGCTGGGACCAAAGAATGCCAAAACATCTGGCTTCTCATGTGGGTTCTGGGGACTGAACTCTGGTCCTCAGGCATGGGTGGCAGGTTCTTTTACCTACTGAACCATGTAATTGGTTTTCTATGCAATTTTCTTTTGATATTATTCTTATTTTATGGATGTTGTTGAATCTTAGTCCTCTATAAGAGTGACCAGTGCTAACTACTGAGTCATCTCTCCAGCCCTACTTCTGTGGACTCTTAAGAGCTCTGTTATGTTAATATAAACAACAATATTCAAGAAGAAAATCTGTTAGATGTCTATAGATCAGTCATTTTTAGTTATATTTGTGTTAGCTACTTTAATGAAGATAATAGGGGATGTAATAGTTTTAGGCAGCTCCTAAATGTAAATGGATCGACATTTTTGCCCAGCTCAGAGGATCAGACCTCAGGGCTCCCATGAGACAACGCATTTAAAATGGTTGTTGGTGCTCTTTCAGTCTTATTTTAGCCAGTCAAGGCAGACTGCTATGAAGGCGATAAAAGACAACAGCTACAGTGCTATGGGTCCAGCTCTTTGGACTATGCCAGAAGAAAAGGGGCCACGAAAGTTAAATGAAACTCTGGTAGTTATTTTGGGTTGGTTTAAATTCTGCCCTCTCCCACTTTTTGTTTCTAGAGAAAGTGTGACAGAGAGCCCTTTGCGAATCCCAATGTCAAGACTTGTCACTATTTTTTTGTTTGTTTTGTTTTTAAGCAGGCAAAACTGGGCAAACCTAAGAAGTTTGGAGATTAGGAAGAATGCGTTTCTTACAGTGAGCCACACACAGTAAAGTCTTTGTTAGATGGACAGATGACCCTCTTTAGAGACAGAAGCTCCCGACAGGTTAAAAAGGGACGAAGGTGTACTTTAGTTGGAAGTAATGCCTTGACTATCTCCACCACGCCAGCAAATAAAGGTCGAGAATCCAGCTCGGCCTGAGGCCAGGATCATCAATGTATGAAAAATAATTCGAACCTCACGGTTCTTTCAGAAGACTGGTTGACTACGTGTGCGCGTAAGGGTCATAACTCATTGGTAGCACACGCTATTTATGGATGTTCACGCTTCTGAGGTTTCGCCTTACATAAACACTGCTTAGCTGCAGAAGCCACACCGTATGGGGACGTTAGGGTGGAACTGAAGACATCCCACACTGCGTCTTTACATGTCCTTCTAGTTCCTCTATATTCTCTAGCTCCTCTGAGCCACGTAACGACTTGCGTTACTGAGAAATGCTCCACATTTCTATTTTGGGTTCTTTTTGCGAGTGTGATGAGGTTGGAAGACCCTTACTTACAAGGGTGCCTTCTGAATCCCTTAGCTTTTAGCCTCCCGCACAGAAGCCAGTGGGCGCACTTCCTGCCGGGAGGTGGGCGGGACGGGAGCCTCCTTCCTCAAGCCCCGCCCACCCGGGCGCCCCGCCCACCCCTCCCCTCCCT